GATGACGCCGGGTATCCTGCCGAGCAGCCTGAAGCCCTTCTCCGCGTCGAACCTCTCGCTCGGCGTCTCGGGGAAGTGGATCCAGCCACGCTGGACCCCGAGACGACGCACGATAGCGACGGACACGGCGCGGACCGCAACGCTGACTGTCTTTTGGTCCCGCGCTACGTGTTCGTCGCTCGCCACCATGCCTTGGAAGCTCCCCGTGCCGTAGAAGTGCAGTGCACACAACACGTGAAGCTCCACAGTCATGACCGTCCTTGAGGTACGCACTCTCCTCACCTCCGGTTCCTCGCGAAGTTCGTCGCACAACCACCGCACCACGATCTTGGGCAGGCGGTATTGCTTCCAAAAGATCTCCTCCGCGAGCTCGAATGCATCGCGGTGTTCCCGATACAGCCTTTCTGGCGAAAAAAAAAAAGCTCTATTAAAGAAAAAGACGAATTGACGAGACGGCGACGCCTCGCCGCCGAACACATGCTGCCAATGACACCTAGTTCCGAGCAAGTACCTTTTGAAACGTACTCGGTACAAAACGAAACGTCATTTTGTTGTCACGTCCGGTAGCCGACTCCGCCCAGTTTTGCCGACTCCGCCCACATTTTTCTAGGGAAATTACGTCACTTTTGTTTCCAACCAATCAGACGTGATGACGTCACTTCCGTGTACTAAAAAAAGGTACATGTACAATGTCGAACCTAGCTATCCAGATCTCGCCCAAGAAGAAATGGTAATGGCCGCTTGCTTACCCCTTGGCTCGACAGGTGGTTCGTTTTCCAGGAAGGAGAGGAGTACAGAAGGGTTTTGCCGCGCTACGGGCATTCCGGCAATCTTTGCTTGACTCTCCTGAGCCATTCCTGCCGCTCGTGCGTCGAATACGTGTTAGTGCCGCGATTGCGAAAACGTTGATGCTTGGAACTTGGAGCCAGCCGCTACCAGACACCTGATTTGTTTCAAAAATACCGAGGACGTTTTGGGCCAATGAATCGATCACATAGCAGGCGGTAGACAAGTAGACGGCGTTGAAAAATATTTATTCCACCGATTGTTATGAAGGCCGATGGTGTCGGTGTCGCAGTTTTGAAGCACTGTCAGTTCAGCTCAACACCACGTTACGAAAGACGGTTTGGGGTACTGACGGTGCTAACGCAATTTCACAGTTGAAATAGGAATTGCATGAAAAAACCCGACAGGAACACTTTATACGGTAGCGTAAATGCCGAACATATATCAGCGATGTCATTTTCCTCGGTTAGGGCTATCTGCTTTGTCAGCGAATGAAGAACATCTCGATAAAATAAAGAGCGGAAAATACTCCGCGTGTCAAGTTTTCTAATCCCAGTCCCTGGTTGATGTCGTACCGTGGTAACTCCCGGCCCTTCGAACGCACTAGCACTTTGTAGAGTCACATTTCCAGCGATTCCGCGCCGCACACGAACGAAGGTGAACAATCAAGATGACGGAGTGTTCCCCGTGTTGTCCTCGCCGTCAGCGCGGTGTCGCGGTGTGACAGGGTTGCCGGACAACAAATCGGGCAACGCTGTTGCCGGGCGGCAGCAACATATTGCCCGACTGTTGTTGCCGCGATGTGGCAGGGTCGCCGTCAACACGACTTCCCCGTGTTGCCGGATAGCGTTGTCCAACTGTCCCCTCAGTGCGACAGGTCCTTTAACCCTTGGCTCGACAGCCGGTTCGTTTTCCAGAAAGGAGAAGAGAATGTTTTGGCCGCGCTACGGGCATTCCGGCAATCTTTGCTAGAAGCTCCTGAGCCATTCCTGCCGCTCGTGCGTCGAACACGTGTTAGCGCCGCGATTGCGAAAACGTGTTCGAGACGACCGCGGCAGATGCGGAAAGGGGATTCCCCGGCAGTTGAATGACATGAAGGCAAATACCGATCCCAGAGCAGTGGTCATGTTCCACGGGGGATCCATCGCCGGCGCGACCCCGTTCGGATTGTGAGCACCATTCCAGATCTAGTAAACTGATCCCGACGCGCTCCAAAACACCCAGTGGAATTCGCCATCGGATCCAGATCGAGATCTGGAGCGGGAGCTAATCCAAAACGACCAGTGAAACATGTCGGTCTCAATCCCGATCGCCCAGTGAAATAGGCTCGCTCCAAAACGCGCAGTGGAATTTGCCATTAGCTATCCAGCTGTCTGTCTGGCAAAGTGCAATACCTCCGTCTGCTTCGCCAGGTTGCAAAAGCCAAGAACCTTCAAGGAAATAATTCAAAGGCTAGACAGAAAAAAAAGAAGAAGAAAAAAAGGAAAATAAACATGAAACGGTACCTTGTTGCATCTACTCGCTAAAATTCTTCAGCCGAGCTGAAAGAGGTCTCACATGAGCCCGGTCGCGGTTCTCGGGACGACGACCATACTTGTCTCGGCTTCGAGGGGAATATAAGCCGCTGCTTGAGATGACGCGTTTGGCGTGTTGGGCCTGACCCTGGCGTGTGTTTATCGGGTCCGAGTTTTCCGAGGGGTCCGAGGGGTCCTGGTTGCCTGCCGTCATTGGCGTCACCGAGGTACTTGGGGCTTCCAAAGAAGAAAGGGAGGGAGACACTGCCACAGGCGACTCCTCCTCCATGATGACGAAGCGCTCGCTCTCGCTAGAGACCTCAGGGTCTTCCGTCACCTTGCTCCCCGGGGTGTAAGTATCCACAGGAGATAGACTAGGTGCCGGTGCGACGGGTTGCGTCTTGGGGGACGTCGCACCCACTGCGTCCGGCAGAGGACGCAGTGGGTGCGACGCAGTGGGTACGTTGTCTCCAGCACATGAGGGAGTCACCTCATGTGCTGGGGACAACGCAGGAAAATCAGACGAGGCTGTACCAGCGACAATAGACTAGTAACGCCGCCGAGGCACGCAGTCAGAGTTGCGTGGGAGCCGCCGCACCGGCGATGGTAGGACGTGCAACCGTCCGTGGCGTGTCCAAAGACCGGGCACCGTTCGCAGTGCTCTTTCGTGCAGTTGACGAATGTGTCCTTCCAGTTGGCAACGCCGGCACACCCTCTTGATGCGCGGGTAGTCGAAGGTCGCCCGGTGAACTCCGATACGAAGGAAGTTCGAAACCGGGTCCGGCTCTTTCATTTCAATTCTCACATACCTTGTCGCGGGCTTCAGGGTTGGTTTGTGTCGGAGCTTCGCAGCTCCAGTGCGGCCGTAGTGACCCTGGGGCTGCAGGGACGCTCGTCTTTACCTTGCATCCCATGATGAGCTCTGCTGGGCTCAAGAAGGCATAAGGCCATGCCCGTCCCTGATCAAATGCGTGACGGAGCTTGTCTTCTGGCGCCGGTAGCTCCGTCACGCATTTGATCAGGGACGGGCATGGCCTTATGCCTTCATCGTCGATGTATCGTATAGTATTGCCGATAAAACATGACGGGCCGGGTGTGGGGAAGCCAGGAACAAGAACCTCTTCCTCTTTATTTTCCACCCCTTCTCGGTCCGCTTTATGCAGCACGCACAACATACGATACATCCCCCTTCTTTTGTCGTCAAAACAAAAATAATAAACACGCAAGAACAGTTCTAACTAAGTAAAGAAACGCAACAAGAGTTCATGGTTCTTGAACGAACTCCCGGTCGTAACTCAACCGGCGCGGGGGTCTGTGTTGCCTGAGCGACCTTCTTGGAGCTGCTGTTGGTGACGTGATTCTAGGAGCACTAGCCATCAGAGCACTAGTCGCTGTTTGCGCTTGGTTAGAGGATTCCCATGGGTAGCGCTGTGTTGGGGTGGCATCTCGATGTGTGTCGTCTTCGCTGTCGTCATCTTCGTCAAAGCGGAATGCCTCCTTGGTAGCCAGCAAGTGCTGGCGATTGCGTCGCAGCACTTTCCCTCCCGTCGTGATGACGTTGTACGATCGGGGATTGGTTCTGAGATAAAGACGGTAGGAACTTGCTGAAATAATTGACAACGCCTAGCAATCTTTGAACCGCGAGCTTGTCCGCTGGCGCCGGTAGCTCCGTCACGCATTTGATCAGGGACGGGCAAGGCCTTATGCCTTCTTCGTTGATAACGTGTCCGAGAAACTCGATTTTCTCGACGCCGATTGCGCATTTATTTGGGTTGAAAGTTAATCCGGCGCGTTCGGCTGCTCGCACCACTGAGGTTAGGCGTTCGTCGTGCTCTCGTCTTGACGAGCCCCACACTAGTATATCGTCGACGTACACTCTGATGCCAGGAAGAGCTTCAAAAATTTCGTTTAGAGTTTTCTGGAAAACTTCGGAAGCAGACGATATACCGAAAGGTAGTCGCAGGTAGCGGTAACGGCAAAGGGCGTTGCGAAGGTGCAGATCCTGGACGTCTGGTCATCCAAAGGGATTTGATGGAATCCTGAATTCGCATCAAGGCGCGTGAACACTCTTGCTCCTGACAGCTCGAACTGAACGGTTGAAAGTTATCGTATGTTGCGCGTGCTGCATAAAGCGGACCGAGAAGGGGTGGAACATATAGAGGAAGAGGTTCTTGTTTGGGGCGCTATGTTGCGCTTTTTGGACTCCCAGAAGACTAGGGAGAAGGAAGTGACGTCAACGAGACAGCAAACGCAGATTGGATGTTGATTTCGTTTTCTTCTGTCAACATCCAATCTGCGTTTTCTGTGTCGTTGACGTCACTTCCTTCTGCCTAGTCTCCTGGGAGTCCAAAAAGCGCAACATAGCACCTGGGGGGCTATGTTGCGCTTTTTGCACTCCCAGGAGACTAGGGAGAGGGAAGTGACGTCGACGACACAGCAAACGCAGATTGGGTGTTGATTTCGTTTTCTTCTGTCAACATCCAATCTGCATTTGCTGTGTCGTTGACGTCACTTCCTTCTCCCATGTCTCCTGGGAGTGCAAAAAGCGCAACATAGCACCCCTGGCTTCCCCACCCCTGGCCCGTCATGTTTTATCGGTAATACTAGACGATACATGGTGTCAGAAGTACCAAGCCGAACCACGCACTTCTTTGAAGAACGACAGACGCCGCCACAAGAGCCAGTCAAATCACGGATTTCGTGAAACCGCCGGGTCCGCTCAGCACGACAGGGGAAATAAGCAAGAACTGGCGGATATTTAAGCAAAGGTTCGAACTCTTCCTGACCGCTTCAGAACCTAGTGGCAAGCCTCGACCTGAGTCATCAAAAGCAGCATTTCTTTTAAGCATTGCAGGCGAGGAAGCAATCGAGATATTTAATACGTTCAACTTTTCAGAAGGCGAGAGCAACGCCGACTATGCTACTGTCGTCAAGAAATTTCAAGAGTACTGCGCCGCTCAGCACAACGAAGTACATGAACGCTACCTGTTCCGGAACAAAGTACAAGCCCCGGGTGAGCCTTTTGAACACCTCTTGAGAGAGTTGAAGAAGCAGGCACGACTATGCAACTTTGATGAGCAAATGGACTCCATGATAATGGACCAAATTGTTTACGGAACCAATGACGACAAGGTTCAACAAAAGCTACTCAGGGACAACAGTTTGACCTTACAGAAAGCCGAACAAGTCTGCAAGGCGGCTGAAGTATCAGAAGCACACAAAAAAGTCTGGGCCCGGGAGCAGAAGCAAGTGGATCCAGTCCACAAGACAAGCGTAAGCCATGAGAAAAAGCAGCCCAAGCTCTTCAACTGTGGCAAGTGCGGACGGACGCACGCGCCTCGAAGCTGCCCAGCATTTGGGCTGACCTGCAGAAAGTGCCAAAAGCAGAATCACTTACCAAGTGCTGCAGAACGTCCACTCAGGTCGGCGAGCTTCGAGACTCCGAAGACGACTTCGAGGTTCTCGACCAGAGATGGGCAAAATACATGTAAATATGTATCGAAATACAAATACAAAATACTTCGACAGAAATGTATTTAATTACAAATCTAATTACATTTCCAAAAAAGCATTAAAGTACAAGATACAAATACAACCAAATGTATTTGGTCTCCTCCAAATACTTTTCCAAATACATTCCTCAAAATTTGCGTCAGCGACTTCAGAGCACCTGCAACGGATTTCTGGGTATCTCATTTTAATTTTGCATCGCACACTCTGGAGTTAGTGTGCGAGGCTTTAGTAACATAATAGAAATATAATCACAAAAAAAATGGAATTAGCTTGGACGTAATAGGTGAAAAAAGTACAGAGCTTCAAGCAGCTTTTTTTGTCGATTACATTTTGGTATAGGCCAACAAAGAACCGAGACGACCAAGACGCGCAGCACTAGCTAGAAAAATTTTATTGTTGCAACTCGCACCAGTTACGAAAATCTGAATGATCCGCGCATTTAGAATGTTTCAGGCAAAATATATGGATGGAAATCAGGCTGGAAAGCATCACAACTTGTCACAGGCACTTATTTAGCCAGTCTGCCTGTGAACGTCGATTTTGTCACTCTTCTTGCCCTGGAATAGCACCGTAATCACAAAGTCACTAAACGCTTGTGCTTGATTGAGAGACACTGCAATCGGTGCAGAACGTAGTTTTCTTCCTGCTCTAGACACGTCTTAGGATGAGCAAAATGAGTCGTGACAATAAATTTGAGGGATGTATTTTCGCCCACAAAATTGTATTTATTACAATTGTATTTCAAATACCCACGTTTTAGTATTTAAATACACACGTCAAATGCATTACCCAATTTGTAATTAAATACAAATGCGAAATACATAAGTATTTAAAATATGTATTTCAAATACTTTTATTTGAAATACTGCCCATCCCTGTTCTCGACGTGTCGTCGAGAAACGCCATGAACCAGCGTGACTGGATAGTTCAAGCACGAGTAAAGAACTTTTCAGTCGAGCTGAAGGTCGACACAGGAGCACAGGCTAACTTACTGCCCTTTGGAACATATTGCAAAATGCACCCAAAGCCGCCACTGAAGCCCAGCAGTGCAGTATTGCGTTCCTATGGCGGGGGCGTAATTAAGCATGTGGGTGTTATGCGAGCAGAAGTGGCACTGGACGACCGAACTGCTGTCCTCGACTTCTTTGAAGTATGCAAGGGCACCAAGCCATCCTTGGGCTACAAGCCAGCGAGTACCTTGCACTGCTGTCTCGAGTACAAAGCGTGACGAGGAGCACCTCCGAAGGAATCGTCGAAGATTTTCGCCATCTGTTCACTGGCACCGGCTGCGTCCAGCGAGTCTACCGTATGGTTCTTGGGGACGGAACCACACCAGTGGTCCAAACGGCGCGACGCGTACCGCTAGCTCTGCAGGAACTTCTCCGCGAGGAACTGGAACGCATGGAGCGCGCAGGCGTCGTGGTGAAGGTCACCGAGCCCACAGATTGGATAAGTCCAGTTGTCATTGTTCGAAAGAAGGACGGAAAGATACGGGTATGCATCGACCCCAGGAAAATAAACGAATGCATAAAAAGGGAACATTACATCATGCCGCGGCGGAAAGATATAGAAGCCGAGCTGCCAGGAGCAAGAGTGTTCACGCGCCTTGATGCGAATTCAGGATTCCATCAAATCCCTTTAGATGACCAGACGTCCAGGATCTGCACCTTCGCAACGCCCTTTGGCCGTTACCGCTACTTGCGACTACCTTTCGGTATATCGTCTGCTTCCGAAGTTTTCCAAAAAACTCTAAACGAAATTTTTGAAGCTCTTCCTGGCGTCAGAGTGTACGTCGATGATATACTAGTGTGGGGCTCGTCAAGGCGAGAGCACGACGAACGCCTAACCTCAGTGTTGCGAGCAGCCGAACGCGCCGGACTAACTTTCAACCCAAATAAATGCGTTATCGGCGTCGAGAAAATCGAGTTTCTCGGAGACGTTATCGACGAAGAAGGCATAAGGCCATGCCCGTCCCCGATGAAATGCGTGAGGGAGCTACCGGCGCCAGCGGACAAGCTCGCGGTTCAAGGATTGCTAGGTGTTGTCAATTATTTCAGCAAGTTCCTACCGTCTTTATCTCAGAGGACAACACTCCTTAGGAGCTTGATAAAGCAAGATTCTGTTTTTGAATGGACGGCCAATCATGCTGCAGAATGGAAGCAGTTGTGTGGAAAGTCTGAGCAAGCAGCCGCTGCTATCAATATTCAACCCGTCTAGACCAACAAAAGTTTCATGTGATGCGTCGCAAAACGGAATCGGTGCGGCGTTGATGCAGAGTCACGACGGCACGTGGAAGCCGGTAGCGTATGCTTCGCGAACGCTCACAGACACTCAGCAGCGCTATTCGCAGATAGAAAAGGAAACGATGGCCTTCGTGTTTGGTTGTGAAAAATTTAGCCATTTTGTGTACGGCCGGAGGTGATCGTCGAGACGGATCATCGTCCTTTAAATGCTAGATCACAGAAAGCGATCGGCGACATGCCGCCAAGGTTGCAACGTTTTTTTTACGGCTGCTGCGCTACGACATTGAAATGAAATATGTTCCAGGAAAGCAACTCATCCTGGCCGACATGCTGTCGCGGGTGACGGCCAGAAGTGACTCGGGTGGCGTCGACACCGACGATGTCGAAGTACACGCTGTAAGCGTTGTTTCTTCACTGATTAGCGATGCCACGTGGAACCAGTTGGCTACAGAAACGAGCCTGGACGAACCTCTAAAAATGTCCTAAAAGACCTCGAAACTGGAAAACCAATTGAAGGTAAGTGGAAATCGTTTGATGGAGAGCTCTCACAAGTCAAGGGAGTCCTCATGAAAGGCTGCAAAGTCGTAATTCCGCGCAGCATGAGACGGGAAATGTTGAAAAGAATTCATCAAGGACGTATGGGCGTCAATAAGTGCAAAGCAAGGGCGCGACACCTTGTGTACTGGCACGGAATGAATTTAGACATAGAAGCGTTCGTGCAGAGGTGTCCTGCAGAAAGCACGCATATAGTCAACCACGCGAGCCCTTGACGATGCGTCATGTACCAGACCAACCGTGGTACCGCGTAGGAATAGACATCTTTGAGCACGGAGGAAAGTCGTACTTATGTGTATACGACGCTCTAACTTTCCAGAGGTCGAGTTACTCAGATATACTTCTGCAAAGACTGTCCTTGAGGCAACAAGTGCAATCTTTTCGAGGTATGGCATACCGGTGGAGGTCTGTTCTGACAATGGCCCACAATTTTCAAGTCACGACTTCGCGTTGTTCTCCAGAACGTACGACTTCAAACACGTCACATCTAGTCCAGGGTTCCCACGATCGAACGGTCTAGCAGAAAAGGGAGTACAGGTGGTTAAACGAATTCTAAAGAAAACCAGCGAAAATAACGAAGTTTTTTGGCTGGGACTTCTTGCTTATAGGACCACTCCACAAGAATTGGGTCCAGCACCTGCCGAGGTACTTCAAGGGAGAAGGCTGCGAACATTCTTGCCAGACGCCCATGTCGGCCCTGGTCACCAAGTACGCAAGCATCGCCAAACGGTCCATTCCAGGGGGCCGCTTCCACATCTCAACCCAGGAGATGCCGTTCGTGTCAACAAGGGTGCATGGACCACGAAAGTGCAAGTCCTGAGACCTTCTGGGCATCCCCGATCGTACAACGTCATCACGGCGGAAGGGAAAGTGCTGCGACGCAATCGCCAGCACTTGCTGGCTACCAAGGAGGCATTCCGCTTTGACGAAGATGACGACAGCGAAGACGACACATATTGAGATGTCACTCCAACACAGCGCTACCCATCGGAATCCTCTAACCAAGCGCAAACAGCGACTAGTGCTTTGATGGCTAGTGCTCCTAGAATCACGTCACCAACAGCAGCTCCAAGAAGGTCGCTCAGGTAACACGGACCCCCGCGCCGGTTGAGTTACGACCGGGAGTTCGTTCAAGAACCATGAACTGTTGTTGCGTTTCTTGACTTAGTTTGAACTGTTCTTCCGTGTTTATTATTTTTGTTTTGACGACAAAAGAAGGGGGATGTATTGTACGTTGCGCGTGCTGCATAAAGCGAACCGAGAAGGGGTGGAAAATAAAGAGGAATAGGTTCTTGTTCCTGGCTTTCCCACACCCGGCCCGTCATGTTTTATCGGCAATACTAGACGATACACCCTCCTTCCCTGGAATCGCTCAAAGTGCAAGAAGTGCTTGCTCTACGTCGGGAGACTTCCGAAGGAGCTGCTTTGCTGTCTGCACTCTTCTCTCTGCTGCTCCGTTGCTTTGTGGATAGTAGGGGCTGGAAGTGATGTGTTTGATGCTCCAGCCCCTGGTAAAAGATTTGAGTTCAGCAGATGCAAACTGTGGTCCGTTGTCGGATCGGATGATATCCGGCGTTCCGAAACGAGCAAACATTGGTCGCAGAGCCTCACTGACGTCTTTTGTGGCAGTTGTCGACTACTTTTCTCTATTCTTCGAGTTGGTCAACTGGAGCACAACGACCACAAAAGACGGCACTGAGGCTCTGCGACCAATGTTTGCTCGTTTCGGAACGCCGGATGTCATCCGATATGACAAGGGACCACAGTTTGCATCTGCTGAATAAAAATCTTTTACCAGGGACTGGAGCATCAAACACATCACTTCCAGCCCCTACTATCCACAAAGCAACGGAGCAGCAGAGAGAACAGTGCAGACAGCAAAGCAGCTCCTTCGGAAGTCTCCCGACGTAGAGCAAGCACTTTTTGCACATCGAGCGACTCCAGGGAAGGAGGGGTACAGCCCAGCTGAGCTCATCATGGGACGCAAGGTAAAGACGAGCGTCCCTGCAGCCCCAGGGTCACTACGGCTGTTCGGAACGTTCGGAACGGACGACGGCCAAGTGACCGCAGCCCAGCTCGTTACCACAACCAAAAAAGCCCTTTAATCTCACGCGCCGCTCCTTATATAGTCCTCTATAAATGATGGTGTCCTCTGGTGAGCAATAAGAAAAAACACCATC